TCTAGTGTGTGGTCTGGTCAACTTACTTTAGCCACGTTATTGTGACTCATCACCTGCAGAAGGGGATGGACCTTCTTGAGGAAGGTCAGACTTTGTCCTACAGGGACTATTAATTTGTACAGATACTGCAGGACATAGCAAGAATGCACCACCGAATTATTACGCGAATAAGATTAAATAAGCAAGGCAACCAGCCATTTCAATGACAAGTAATTACAGTAATATTCTAAGAGCTTAAATCTTAAGAAATAATCCACCTCAGTCCACTTATAAACCTTACGAAGAGATTCACAAAAAATATGTATCTCGGCGTATAAATTAAACACGGCTTAACCAGGTACAAAAGTAACAATAAAGGCTTATACCAGTGTCCACGTCACAGCCCCTCCTTGACTGTCCACACCCGTCTGTCTGTCTGTCTCTCATTTCATGTCTCTCCCGAATGTACAAGAATGTAACAACTCTTGTATATATCTCAAAAAAAAAAATCCACGAGACGCCTTGTTGGGATCCCTGCATCCGACATTCCTTTCACAATTTTGTCTAAAATTATAGTATTTATGCTGTGTATGCCACGTTGATCCATTAAATACAAGTTCAGTGTGTCAATCAAAAATAATATTCATGTTAATTAAGTGGCTTTGTAATTTATATAAATGTAGATTCAATAACATTTAAATTTAAAATGCTTTTACAATTTGTGATTGAAGAAGACCTCTCTTCAATCAAATTGGTGAAAATTTTCTAATAAATGAATAAATAGAACGTTAGACAGATGTCTAATTCATTGAATGTCCAGTGCTCTGTTTATTCATTTGTCAGACAATTCTCACTAGATATAATCATAATATACAGCCTACCAATTTTCGTGAAATTTGACAAGAATACATGGGAGTTGGTGGCAGTGGAGCAGGTTAAGTGATTAATTGTGGTGAAAGTAGGACGTAAATGCCGGGTCGCATGTCATGCTCTAATCCTCATACTTCTATACAACAGCAGAATATTTATATATGCAACACAGTATATATCTGTGCAGCTGCATAATATTTATGTCGTACCTAGTAGCCAGAACTCACTTCTCAGCCTACTATGCAAGGCCCGATTTGCCTAATAAGCCTAGTTTTCATGAATTATTGTTTTTTCACCTACCTAACCTAACCTAACGTTTTCGGCTACCTAACCTAACCTAACCTATAAAGATAGGTTAGGTTAGGTTAGGTTAGGTAGGGTTGGTTAGGTTCGGTCATATATCTACGTTAATTTTAACTCCAATAAAAAAAAATTGACCTTATACATAGTGAAATGGGTAGCTTTATCATTTCATAAGAAAAAAATTAGAGAAAATATATTAATTCAGTAAAACTTGGCTTATTAGGCAAATCGGGCCTTGCATAGTAGGCTGAGAAGTGAGTTCTGGCTACTAGGTACGACATTTACATCTATGCAACAGCAGGGCGCCATATTCCCTAGCCGTTTTATTTTTTTTTATTTTTTTTTTTTTTTTATTATTTTTCTACCACAGACGTGGCCACACATTTACAATGCTAACCAGCATATATACATTTTCTTCTGTCCTCCATGGACAGGGTTAGAGATCAGTTAAACATATAGTGCAAGGGTTTATTAAACAATCAACCACAGAAGGTGATTCGGTGCTTTTAAAATGCCCTAGCCGTGTCAACAACTCCCCAGAATTGGTCTATATAGGTAAATATATTAGTAAGTAAATAGGTAAGTACATTAGAGGAACAATAATTCATTGAAGCAGTAAGATGATTGAACCAGCGTCCAACATGCGCCATACCCCTAGGCCACGACATGCTAAGGGTTATTTATTAATTAATCCTGGGACCTTACTGAACCCACTAGGGATCTGGCAGTACCGAGCTGGTATCAACTCTTAGTAGTTTTACCAGTATCCCACCCCCACTTTGGCGTGGGCAATGGAGTTCTCCACCAAACGCTCCATTCAATTACACAAGGAAATGACAGTAATGTGATGTATCTGCTAACCGTAGGTGGTGCCTGCGGGTGATTGTATCGCTTCGTGCATGATAAGCACAAAAATTGTATAGCTCGCGCACACATAAAATTGCTGAGTTTGAAGACTTGTGGCCCAGCTCTAGAGCCCATTGTTGATATCGAACAGTTGAATGCGTAGCTTATCAAGACTGTAATTTGATTAGCTAAATGAATTTTCGGGTTCAGTTCCCGAGTCCATTATGTGACTATGCCTGGTTGTGTATGGGGTGCATGACCAATGAGCAGAACTGAAAAGGGGGGGATACTTTGGGGGGAAAATATTATTGTATATATATTTAATTGTATATTTAGACATTTACTGAATACAGTATTAGATGAAATAACCGCCTATGGTAGCTCTTGTTTTATACTGTATTTACTGTATATGTTAGATTTTTATTATTATTAATACATGAGATACATCTGCATTTGTGCAGCTACCCTAGACTATATGAAGTGTAGTACAGTGTGTCAAAAAAAAAACTAACTACGTGATGATAAAAAATCCCCATCACACAGGATGGTTAGTCATATGAGGATATCATCAACACAAGAGTGAATAAAGTAGCAGTTTTTTTATTATTATTATTTTCTACCACAGACGTGGACAAACATTTACATTCACATTTTATTAGCACAATGCTGTGCTAATAAAAATGTTAGCAGCTTGTGTAACATCATAAAAGTCTTGGGACTCAGTCAACCATCTTTCACCGATTTTATATGGGGTCGTCTTTGAATTTACCTTATTTTTTTTATTGATATATACAAGAGTTGTTACATTCTTGACTAGTACGCGTAGCGTTTCGGGCAAGTCCTTAATCCTATGGTACCTGGAATATGACCCCCGCGAAGAATCGTTTAACAACCAGGCACCCATTTTACTGTTGAGTTAAACAGAGGCTACAGTTAAGGATTTGCGCCCAGTAAATCCTCTCCGGCCAGGATACGAACCCATGACAAAGCGCTCGCGGACGCCAGGCGAAGTGTCTTAACCACTACACCACGGGGCTGAATGGACCTGACCCCCTTTTTAATGGGAGCAATGAGGCCTAGCCCCATAGTGGGACCGAGCTCCAATTAGTGAGAGCAGTTAGGCTGAAACCCTACCCCCACTATTCCTCATATAAAGTTCGTCTCCAACCTTGGACAGACTAGCATTATCACTAATAGATACTGTATTGATTAGTAATAGAGTTATCTCTAAAGCTATTGTCACGAAGAGCTAAACATTTTACTAATGTTCAAGAAATAGTTACATATATCATTATTAAATATATTCTGTACTGTAATAATGTAACAGAAATCTTACCCCAGGTACAGTATTCCAAGTTTACCTACTGTAGGTAAACATTCATGCGCCTGAATGTATCTTTTCCCACTGCCATGCACGATGTGTTAATTACAGTTATAACTTCACCAGAAACGTAATTTGCTTAGTTTAAGGATGAATGGGGTTCAGTTCTTGAACCCCGTTTCTTCCACTTACCCGCACGATGGGTATAGAGCCCATAATAAAATGACTAACAATATATATATATATATATATATATATATATATATATATATATATATATATATATATATATATATATATATATATATATATATATATATATATATATATGTCGTACCTAATAGCCAGAACGCACTTCTCAGCCTACTATTCAAGGCCCGATTTGCCTAATAAGCCAAGTTTTCATGAATTAATGTTTTTTCGTCTACCTAACCTACCTAACCTAACCTAACCTAACCTAACCTAACCTAACCTAACCTAACCTAGCTTTTTATGGCTACCTTACCTATAAATATAGGTTAGGTTAGGTTAGGTAGGGTTGGTTAGGTTCGGTCATATATCTACGTTAATTTTAACTCCAATAAAAAAAATTGACCTCATACATAGAGAAAAAGGTTGCTTAATCATTTCATAAGAAAAAAATTATAGTAAATATATTAATTCAGGAAAACTTGGCTTATTAGGCAAATCGGGCCTTGAATAGTAGGCTGAGAAGTGCGTTCTGGCTACTAGGTACGACATATATATATATATATATATATATATATATGTCGTACCTAGTAGCCAGAACGCACTTCTCAGCCTACTATTCAAGGCCCGATTTGCCTAATAAGCCAAGTTTTCCTGAATTAATATATTTACTATAATTTTTTTCTTATGAAATGATAAAGCAACCTTTTTCTCTATGTATGAGGTCAATTTTTTTTTATTGGAGTTAAAATTAACGTAGATATATGACCGAACCTAACCAACCCTACCTAACCTAACCTAACCTATCTTTATAGGTTAGGTTAGGTTACGTAGCCTAAAAAGTTAGGTTAGGTTAGGTTAGGTAGGTTAGGTAGTCGAAAAACAATTAATTCATGAAAACTTGGCTTATTAGGCAAATCGGGCCTTGCATAGTAGGCCCAGAAGTGCGTTCTGGCTACTAGGTACGACATATATATATATATATATATATATATATATATATATATATATATATATATATATGTCGTACCTAGTAGCCAGAACGCACTTCTGGGCCTACTATGCAAGGCCCGATTTGCCTAATAAGCCAAGTTTTACTGAATTAATGTTTTTTCGACTACCTAACCTACCTAACCTGACCTAACCTAACTTTTCCGGCTACCTAACCTAACCTAACCTATAAAAATAGGTTAGGTTAGGTTAGGTAGGGTTGGTTAGGTTCGGTCATTTATCTACGTTATTTTTAACTCCAATAAAAGAAAATTGACCTCATACATAATGAAATGGGTAGCTTTATCATTTCATAAGAAAAAAAATAGAGAAAATATATTAATTCAGTAAAATTTGGCTTATTAGGCAAATCGAGCCTTGCATAGTAGGCTGAGAAGTGCGTTCTGGCTACTAAGTACGACATATATATATATATATATATATATATATATATATATATATATATATATATATATATATATATATCTCTCTCTGTGCCTAGTTATATTCGGTTATTATAGTATTACTCATATGTATTAATGAATTTATCAATTTAATGAGTGAAATCTGTTATAATTAATTACATCAGCAATTTAAATGAATTTCAGAACATCTAAGAAGTAATTTACATTCATTTTGTTATGTTTTTATTATAAATATTATTGTAATTGCACATTTGATTAATAATAGTTACATATTTTTATTTTATTTTAGAAAAGGCTGTTAGCAAAAGACTTCAATGAGAACTGAAATGAAAACGTGTACTGTATTCAAACTGTTCAGAAGGAATACAGCAAGTCAGTACTGTATTAGGAAAAAATGAGCTCAGTACCTTCATTAGTCAAGTAACTTGGAATTCATCAACTGGGTTAAAAAAAATTGTAGAATACATCCTAGCTCAACTTGTGAATACTAACTTCACCAAAGTAACTGTAACTTAGAGCTCATCAATTCGTACTTTCCCCACACGGCCTAAGAGCACTACAGGCCTTTCACGCTAACCCGACACAGAACTTGGACACTTGTATTGCTGTGGGTGACACAGTACTCTGGAAGTCACAGATCTGAAAGACACAGTTTTCTGAAAAATATAGTGTTTTCTGGAAGACACAGCTTTCCGGAAGAGACAGCTTCCTGGAGGAGACAGCTTCCTGGAGGAGACAGCTTCCTGGAGGAGACAGCTTCCTGGAAGAGACAGCTTCCTGGAAGAGACAGCTTCCTGGAAGAGACAGCTTCCTGGAAGAGACAGCTTCCTGGAAGAGACAGCTTCCTGGAAGAGACAGCTTCCTGGAAGAGACAGTTTCCTGGAAGAGACAGTTTCCTGGAAGAGACAGCTTCCTGGAAGAGACAGCTTCCTGGAAGAGACAGCTTCCTGGAAGAGACAGCTTCCTGGAAGAGACAGCTTCCTGGAAGAGACAGCTTCCTGGAGGAGACAGCTTCCTGGAGGAGACAGCTTCCTGGAGGAGACAGCTCCCTGGAAGACACAGTTTCCTGGAAGACACAGCAACCTACCAACGAAGAATAGTTGAACCACACAAAGGACCAACTCTTACTAACTGCTTCGAGTGTCTCATCCATCATGATCAAGCTACTCCCAATCTTCCTTGTACTCTTACTGGTAAGAGTGATATAAATTCACATTGCTTTATACCCGGTACAAAATTATAGTCATAAAAGATATATTTCATTCTCCATTCAAAAATTAATGATAAATACAATTTGTATCATTCCCTCTACAAATATGAAGTACCTGTAGAAGTACAGTAGCATATACAGTATACAGCACAGTCCTTCTCACAGTTGATCACAGTATGCTTCATGTATATATATATTACTGGTACAGGTATGTTATATTTCTTCTGCAATGGGGGCTAAAAAAAATAGTTTATAAAGCTAAAATCTGATAAATTGTAACCATATGATCCTCAGCAAGAGCAGGTATTTTAATATTATTTACTGTAAAAAACTAAATGTATTTTCTAAGTTAACAGACTAATAAAGACAAAGATGTACGTGGAGGGATACAGTAATGTAGACCATAATTATGCTTTACTAAACACCATTAGGGGCTTCAATTAGTTATGACACAGTATCCTACAGGGAAGAGTGAAATAATAACTTTAAATACTTCATAGTATATAAATTAATGTTCCACTAGAACAGAAAGTTGTGTGTTCTATGAGAAGCCACAAATTATTACCTTTTAGAAAGAAACACCAATCAGACAATCGTCTGTGATGTTTTAGCAGACTTAGTTAAATCACTTTTACCTGAACTCTGCCATGTTATAAGGGCGACTGAAGTCACTACATAGGTAATGACGAGGAAAATATCACTACTGTATTAAAAATTATAGTTTTATCAACACTAACATTACAAATTTATTGTTAGATAAGTTTCTAAAAAAATGCAATTTAAAAGACAAATATTTAGATTACTTATTACGTTAAAAAGTTTCCTGAAGCCATTTAATTCTGTCTCACATTGATTCTTATTTTTCTAGGTGGCAGCATCATTGGCAAGTGAGAAGGAAGATGTGAGCACAGAGAAGGAAAGTTATAATAGTGATGGTGGTATGAGGGTGGTTCAAGAGGGAAGGAACATAGCAGCATGGCAAGGCATTACATCCACTCCCTCTTTTCACGCTTTGCTGCTGAAGTCAGTTGGTAATGCTCACTCCTCCCTCTGCCACAGTCCTTTCAGTAGCAAGGGACGCCAAGGCTGTGGAGGTGATGATCGTGTAGAACAGAGAGTTAACCAGAGGCTGAGAAAGGATTCGGAAAACATTGGCATTAAGACATATCTTGGAGTCCCAGTGGAGAAATTGAGGTTGTTGGGTATGAGGAAAATCCAGTGCGGTATGTTGGATGGTAAATGTTCTTCACGTAGAAAAAGAGATGTGGGGAAGGAAAATAGAACTGTTGATGAAAGTGTAGCAGTAGGCAGCAACAGTAGTGAAAATAATGGGACAAAAGGAGATGAACTGCCTGAACTTGAAAGGGAAGAAACAAAGGGAGAGGAGCTTCCTGAGCCAGAAGCACTAGCCTGGATAGACCCTGGACGACTGGCCAGTCAGGGGGTGACAATGGAGCATGTTCCCTCCTTGGCCAACCTGATGGGGCTGCGAGTTGTCAAATACAAAACCCAGCAGCCACAGCACTTCCAAGCTCCATACAGGCCACAGCTGCCACCTGGGCAGCCCCCCAATAGAAACCAACCGGTCCCTGCTGTCACAACAAATATGAGGCTCAACCCATTACAGAAATCCACATCCAGGTTTGATACTGGCAATGCTTTTGGGAACTCATTCCACAACTCCTTTGACAAGTACTACAAGAGCTTCAATCAGCAGGAGATGCAGGACATCGATCGTATCAGCAACAACCATGGCCGCATACCAGTAGAGACCAGTAGTTACAGTGACCCACCTCCCCGTGCCCCTTCTGCTCCTGCCAATGTGCCATTTAGATTCCCTAGTGGAGGTGTGCGACCACAGCCTCCCCCACCAAACACCTTTGCCCGTCCACCATACTCCAGCCTGGGAAACACTGCTGACACTCTCATGCAGATGCTAAACCCATTTAATCTGCTGGGATCTAATCAGTTCCCTCAACTGCCTCGCTACCCGCATCCCGTCCCGCCCCCAAGTTATGACCCTCGCAGACCACACGGCTTCCACCACCCAAGGCCTATAGACATAAACGTTGCTGACCTGAAGGATATACCTAAGGGAGATATTAAATATGAGGTGCTAATGGATCCTAACCAAGATCTGCACCAAGGTTATCGGTTTAAAGAGGATTCCCCACTTAGAGATGACCTTTATATTGGCCAGGATGGAAACCTCTATCTTAAGGACAGTTCTGCTACATCCAAGACGCCAGAAAAAAATCCGTTTGAAGATGATGAAGAGCCACCTAACAGCTCCCCACCCGAGAATCCACCATCCCAGGACTCTCATGAACCCAATCCAACCTCACCATCAGAAGGGCGCTATGAAGATGAAGATATAGACACATTTGATGATGACTTTGACGAAGACTTCAGTGATGAATATGAAGACTCAAGCTATGCTCAACTGCTGGAGAACCATAACATGAATGACCAAGGCTCTCAAGAACCTTCAAGACCTGTTCAGGATTTCAGCCAAGACTATTTTAGAAATGGTCCTCGCAAGCCTTTCAGAGAGCCACCCATCATCCCTAGTCGACCTAACTTACCTCATCAAGTTCACTATCCGAATGTGGCAAGTAATCCCTATGTAGTTCGGACTCCTTCCAACTCTTTTCTGAACTCTGGTCTCTTTGGATGGTTATTCTCGCCATATTCTCGCACGAATTATCCAAGCTACTACTACAACCCAAGGGAAATCCTACTACCCAGGTTCAAGTACCCAAGGGGACCCTATGCACATGCTTCAAACTCTCCTGCAGGTTCACTATCCAACATTCCAGATGCTAACTATCCACGATCTCCACCACTTTCCCAAGGCCCTCTACAACCCTTACCTCCCAAGCCACCGCTTGCACACCCTCAGCTCCCAAACCCATCACTTATGCGACCCCCAGTTCCAAGTCCACCTCCTCGTTCCTTAACACAGTATCCACTTGGACCTTTGCAACACAGTCCCTCACGTCCTCACCAGTCTCTCCAACCCTCTTCATCCACCCTACCTAACACTCGCCACCACAATGCTGTCCAAGGTGGAAAGACACGTGTGCGGGCAAACTTGGAATATGGCCAAGGAACAGGTACTGGCTTCTATCCCGGAAATGGATTCTTTGATTCAGATTTTCCCACGTTGTACCACATGGCCCCTTCCCAAAGGAACGGATTTGTGGAGGAGCTCCCTAGGCCAATGGGACAGAATGCAACAGCATTGCCACTAGATGACAACTAAACAGACTATAATGCGTGTGTTTGTGTACTGGATGTCTGTACTTCATTATTCTAATCACACTGCAAGTCTGCCTTAACTTCTGGTGAGGTAATTGTCATTGTACTTAGGCCTATATGATGATCTTTTGGGTGTCTGGCTTGAAACTAGCAAACCATAATACAAGCAGAAGACAGATCTTACCTCCCACTCTCCTCCATTCCGTTCTCTTCCCAGTAACCCCCACTACCCCACTTCAATCCACATTCCTCCCTCCCTTCCTTCCACCCTCCCTTCAACCAAATTCAACCAGTATCCACCCCCAGGCTGGTAATTTGTCAAACAGAAGACTGAATAACAATAAAGAGTCTAAAAGACATTTTGGAAATCATTTATATGAAAGGAGAGAAAGTCGAGACAGCCGTGAGCTTAATCCTCCTCAAAAGTCACAGAAGACCGAGACAAGAGTGCAAAAAAAAAGAAGAACCAGGCAAAAACATTCTTCAAGGGATGACAGAGACAACCCACGTACTGTACCAAGAACAAACCTCCTTGTAATAGGAGACTTCAACCATTGTCTAATTGACTGGAGAAACAATGGACTTGAGAGAGAGAAAGAATTGAGATTGAAAGCAAAACCGGTAGAAGTAGTAGAAAGGAAACTTCATGACATCTCTCAAGGAGGAAACACAGAGAAGGGAAGTGATCAGTCCAATAAAGCTAGACTTCGTCTTTGCAAAGAATGTGATGTACTGTACAGTATGTACATTGATATTGTCAAACATGAAATGCTAATGAGGGTCAGTGACAACTGAATTTTAGTCTTTGTATATGTAGTAGTCATGAAAGCTATAGAATGAGGAAGAAAAGGCAAAATGGAAGACTAGCATACAATAATGCGGCATATCAAATTGGCAGAGAAATCCTTTGAGAGAATTCCAGAGAGGAAAGCTTGGAGGTAAAACAACACAAGACATGATAGGGTTCATAACAAGTAATCTCAAAAGAAAAGAGAAAGTTTATACTGCCTCTTAAGAGACAAAGGAAAAACAAGATCCCGTGATCTGGTAGGCTGAAAGTAGAACCTACATAGCATTGAAAATAGGTATTGCAGTGCACAATATAAGGGACTTACAATGTATATAAAAAAGGAGAAGAGGCAAATAGGAATTAAGAATGTAGTGAAGCAGCAGTATGAGGACGTAGTATCCACAGCTAAGGACCATTCAAAATTGCTCCACAACAACATCAAGAGGAGGATATCTGTGAATGATCAGGTGATCAGTCTTTACAAGAGTGGGGCACCTGGAGAGTGCTAAGTATACAAAGTATAGTACAGTACTTAAGGAAAGTTTTCAGGATGTTTTTAAGCTGGACCCGTAACCTACTATTACATCTAAGAGATTAAATTAATGATGTCCCTCACAGAAAAGACTTGCCAAGTTAGAAATTACACCAGAAGGAGGAAAATTATTTGAATATGATGAGAGCCAAAGATACAGACATTATTCCACTACTGAAATTGAACGAAGTGGTGAAAGCAGTGTATATCCCTTGTGGTAATCAACTCTAAAATGGAAAATACCACAGGGGTCCTAACTAAGGCCCATCTTATTTTAGTATATGTCAATGTCCTAACAGGAGGATTTGGCTCCTGAAAGTGAATTTATAGAATTTATAATGCAGCTGATCATTTAAGCACTTAACCTATGAAATGACTGCTTGCAAACGTTTAGAGATGACAATAACACTGAACTTCAAAAGTGAATTGGAATATAAAATTAGGCATTCAGCAATTTACTTGTGATTTAAACAGAACATTGAAATTAGGATCCAAGTAAGATGTACCAGAGAGCAAATGGTCAACACTGAACTTATTAGCAAGAGGTATTAGGTGTACCACTAGTTTCAGGTGCATTTGCTTACAGTACTTAACATTTTACAATGAATGTTTGAAAATAAACTTGAAAACGACTTTAATACATTATGTTTTTGCATTTGAACTTAGAGAAAAATCCGTGTTTAATTTGATACGTATATTGAACAGACAATAGCAATGAGCCAAAATAAACTTTCCTTAAAAGTGTAAAATTAAACTTTTGCCATTAAAGAAGCGGAAAAGTTTAATTTTAAGATGAAAACTTCAAAAACTGCAATAAAGGGACTTTTGTACATATTTAAACATGACTGGGTCAGTTATTTATTACTTACAAGGACATTCAGTATTGAAGTGTGCATGACCTCTGTCCATGACCTCATTGTTTTAGGCAAATGTGTACATGAATGCACATGTGCCTGACTCACGGATGCCTATACTATGTTTGTAAAGAATTAATCATTTAAATTTGATATATTCATAATGAATATGCACAAATGTACATGTGTACAATATATATATATACTGTATATACAGTATGTACACATGTATATATGCTTTCTTTCCTGTGATATAAAGTTAATATTTAAAATGCCTATACTGTACATGTGTGTGTGTGACTGATAACTGAACCATGCAAGATATGACAGCTGCTGACTACTGAACTTCAGCTGCCAAGTCATATTTGCATCTGTGTTGTTGACTGTTAATTACAGCCTATAAGATATTATTGTTGTCAATTTGTTTTAGATTCTTATTACTGTAGTTAAATATTTATTATAAACAATAGAAATATATTTTATATATATTGTTGTGGTTTGAATCATGTAGCAAAAATTCTGTCTAGCGAGTTCTGTGTTATTTGAATGTATTTGTGAATTTGAATTTTTTGTTGATCAGAATTGTTTAATAAATTATTGTAAATTATTATTATAACATATTATTATTTATTTATTTATTTATTTAATTATTTATATACAAGAAGGTACATTGGGGGGTTAAGAGAGTACATAGAAATGATGTTGATTTTACATTCTTGTAAAGCCACTAGCACACATAGAGACGTCAGAAAGAACTTTTTCAGTGTCAATTCAATTTCTTACTTTATTATGTACCCCATACCCATCCCGTGGGCGGTGGTGTAAAGGGTTACAGAGGCACATAATCGGTTCAGGAACTGAACCCTCTAATTCGTTTAGCTAAGCAAATAACAATCTTTTGACGCTAGTTATAAAATTATGAATGTTATATATACATGTACACATACTCATGTATACATGTACATATACATACGTATACATATATGCATAAACATACATATTTAATCACCCACACAAATACACACATCAATAATCTCTTGTGTCACAAGTGATTTAACAAGAGGCTCACAACAGTCACTATACAAGGCACTTTACATCTATGGTGAGTCACACAGTTACTAGTCTTGCTCCACACCCACCCAACTGGGCGGCAGCTTTACAGTCATGTGCTCCACACCCACCCAACTGGGCGGCAGCTTTACAGTCATGTGCTCCACACCCACCCAACTGGGCGGTAGCTTTACAGTCATGTGCTCCACACCCACCCAACTGGGCGGCAGCTTTACAGTCATGTGCTCCACACCCACCCAACTGGGCGGCAGCTTTACAGTCATGTGCTCCACACCCACCCAACTGGGCGGCAGCTTTACAGTCATGTGCTCCACACCCACCCAACTGGGCGGCAGCTTTACAGTCATGTGCTCCACACCCACCCAACTGGGCGGCAGCTTTACAGTCATGTGCATGCATTACCTACAGGAAGCAAATTTTGGATATTTCGCTAAGATTTCGGGCAGCACATCATTATGAATGAAGTACTTACACATTTCTTGGACATTATTGATGGTGTTATCTCTAAATTCCGCGATTTTTTTCGCATTCCATTATATAATGACGCAAAGTATGTGAAGGGTCCATAGAATTACCCCAATCATCCCAAATCAGGCCAAAACTACCCAAAACGTATTAGCATTACGTAAGTAATGAAGAAATATGGTATATTTACTTACTATAATGTTGGTGCTACACGTAGAACATGATCAAACCTATTTTTTCTCTGAAATAATCTAATTTCATAACGAAATGAGACGTAAATATGTGAGAGGTGACGCCATAGGAAGTCGACGGTCCAAGCGACAATTGTGTGGAGCGACTTATCCAAGATATATGGTCGCCTGGAGAGTGTTTGCTGCCATAACAGCCTCCTGTACACAGTGATCCAGTCGTCGTATTTCATGGCTCAAATTGTCGCAAATTTAATTGGTAATATTAACAAGTAGAATGTGTATTTATAATAATATTTTTCATAAACAGCCACAAAATATTTAATATTTATTAAAAAAAAGTGTCTGGAAGTTAAATCAATTCCACATGACAATAAATTTGTTATATAGATACTAGCGTTATTCGTTGGTATGCGTTCGCTATTTAAACTACTCCAGTCCTTTTCGTTCATAGAACACCGAACCCTACACGCTCTCTGATATATTGCTTAATTAACAAATATTCACAAATAAAGATTATATTTATATATGTTATCAGAAAGGCAGATATAAAATAGTTTGTGTTAATGCATCACAGAGATTATACCTTATTAGAGAGGAAAAATATTCATATTTTAAACAAGGCTTCTTGGCCGACGCTCTCCCTTTCGATGGGAACTATGACCTTTTGAAAATCAATGTTAATTGAATCTATATATTATAAAAAACGAAGTTTTTTATGTCATCAGAAAGACATATAAGCTGCATGTTAATACTTTGGTATAAATATAACTGAAGTGAAAGTGAAGATATATGCCTTTTTATAGTTACTTGATGGCTCGCTCAGGGAGTGTGAAGGCCTGCACACAAGCCAATCAATTTTATAATTAATGTACATATATGCAAAGTAACGTCAAAGGTTTTTATTTCAGAATGAAGACAGATGTAGACGATAATGTAAATACATTTCAAGGAAAACATATCTTAAATGAAAGCAAAGATATGGTCAAATAAATAGGCAATACCACACCATCGCCAGTGTCCGGACACATGAATATTCGCATTAGGTAGGTGAAAGGAAATGTACCCAACCATTTCCATTTACGCGACCAGTTTCCGTTCTTA